TCAAAGTTATGTGAAAGTCATATCATGATAGTTCATATCAGCAATTGTCATGTCATATTTAGTACAGCAGTTCTCAAATGAGTCTCGTATGTAAGTATACAGGTACACAGTAATACATAATATAGAGTTCACTACTTGGGTGCCCAACTTAGTCACATAATCATGGAGTCATAGTCCCGATAGTCTAGTCAGTGGAAACAAGTAATATTACAAATCATTCCGAGCAAATGTATAGATATATATATATATATATATGGATCCAATATCAATTAACATTCCCATTACGTATTTCACAAGGATGTTGCACGGATGAACACAAAACAAATTCCCCAGATGGAGCAAATACACACAATAGATAAGGTAATGATTCCATGGGTCTATCTAGATGCAAATACAGTAGATACAAGAGAATGTGTCGAGCCTAAATCAATTAGTACCTAAATATCTTGATTGCAAATAGAACGGGTACTTGAGACAATGGCCTTGGTATTCTGTGTATCACCCGAGACAAGTGCAAAAACTCTCCTTTGCCTTAGTGTGTCTCTTGTAGCAGCAAGTCATGCAATATTTATCAAAATTGGCTACATGAATAGACTAATTGGAATTTTTAGAACCATTTGGTAAGTTTAATTAAAAATTGATTTAATTTGATAGATTAAGTTGTGTTTAATTAGCCTAATGTTCTAATTAATGTGTCAAGCCACTCTAGCTATATATGTGTGCCTTAAGCTCATTTTGAGCTCATTTCTCTTCATTTTTGAGTTCACAAAATCTGAGGGAGAGCTCTAGAGAGAGAGAACTTCATTTTAGAGAGAGAAGAGCTTGTAGACTTGGAATTTTGCCTTAGGATTGAGGAATTAAAGAAGACAACTCAAGTTTTGCTAAAATTGGTGTTGTTGAAGACCTTAGGTATGTGTTTGAGCCCTAATTTATGAATTTAAGTTAGCAAATATGTGAATTCAAAGTAAGTAATGTGATTAAATTGCAAGAATTGAGTTTAGAATGACGAATTTGAAGCTAGTTCACACATGCATGCATAGTTCTGTTGAGTTTCATTCTTTTAAGCAAGGTTTTGTATTCCATGTTAGAATTGAGTATTATATCATACATGAATTAAAGTCTTGAGTTGTTTTGAAGCTAATCTCCATGTGTTTGAAAGCTAAGAAAAGGAATTTGGAAAAGATTTCTACATGCATGAAAGTTTGAGTTTCAATTTGCTTTAATTATGAAGTTTCAAGTTTTAAAGGTCGTTATGTATATCTGAAATGGACCCACGGTCATTCTATATATCTGAATTGAACTCAAGGTCGTTTCATATATTTGACAAGATGGACCTAAGGTCGTTCTGAATATTTGGCAAGCTTGATTGTCTGCTATGAGTTGACTGAATGGTCATATACAGCTGTAAATGATTGAATACAAGGTCGTTCCGCTATCTATTAGACTTGAGGTTGTTCTATCATAAGTTGGACCTGAGGTCGTTCTGTCATATGTTAGACCTGAGGTCATTCTATCATATGTTGGATCAGAGATCGTTCCGTTATGATACAAAACTATTACAAGAATGATTTTATTTAATATTAGAACTCATTCATATAATCTCTTTACTCTGATGATATTCATTGGGGGTTAGCTTACTCCGTATGTATATGTATATAGGTGAACAACGGGATGTCCAGCCCTAGTAAGCCTGTAAAAGGATTACCAAATTTTTGTGGAGTTAGCCACTGATACCTCACGCTCGAGGCATTTGTCTTTTAATTTTCTTTTGCTTCCTTTTGTTGGACATGTCTGGCCATGTCTGTAAACAAGTTTTGGGTTTGGTATGATAATGATCTTATGAATGGTCTTGGTTTCGTAATATTTTTTGTATATGAATGGACATGAGTTATTAACTAAATGAAATGTCTTTAATATGCCATATTTGCATAGTTCATTAGACAAAATTTGTTACTTTGCTTCCGCTTCTGGCCCTATTATTAATTAAATATTTTTGTTAATTCTGACTTTGAAGTTGAGTAATCTAGGATTACTGATCGGTCACTGTAACAACCCTCATACTGTTTACTGATTAGGGACTGATTGATTACCGATAATCACCGATTACTGCTAAACGGAACTGATAATGACTGATAACTGACTGATTAGATGCAAATACAGTAGATACAAGAGAATGTGTCGAGCCTAAATCAATTAGTACCTAAATATCTTGATTGCAAATAGAACGGGTACTTGAGACAATGGCCTTGGTATTCTGTGTATCACCCGAGACAAGTGCAAAAACTCTCCTTTGCCTTAGTGTGTCTCTTGTAGCAGCAAGTCATGCAATATTTATCAAAATTGGCTACATGAATAGACTAATTGGAATTTTTAGAACCATTTGGTAAGTTTAATTAAAAATTGATTTAATTTGATAGATTAAGTTGTGTTTAATTAGCCTAATGTTCTAATTAATGTGTTAAGCCACTCTAGCTATATATGTGTGCCTTAAGCTCATTTTGAGCTCATTTCTCTTCATTTTTGAGTTCACAAAATCTGAGGGAGAGCTCTAGAGAGAGAGAACTTCATTTTAGAGAGAGAAGAGCTTGTAGACTTGGAATTTTGCCTTAGGATTGAGGAATTAAAGAAGACAACTCAAGTTTTGCTAAAATTGGTGTTGTTGAAGACCTTAGGTATGTGTTTGAGCCCTAATTTATGAATTTAAGTTAGCAAATATGTGAATTCAAAGTAAGTAATGTGATTAAATTGCAAGAATTGAGTTTAGAATGACGAATTTGAAGCTAATTCACACATGCATGCATAGTTCTGTTGAGTTTCATTCTTTTAAGCAAGGTTTTGTATTCCATGTTAGAATTGAGTATTATATCATACATGCATTAAAGTATTGAGTTGTTTTGAAGCTAATCTCCATGTGTTTGAAAGCTAAGAAACGGAATTTGGAAAAGATTTCTACATGCATGAAAGTTTGAGTTTCAATTTGCTTTAATTATGAAGTTTCAAGTTTTAAAGGTCGTTATGTATATCTGAAATGGACCCACGGTCATTCTGTATATCTGAATTGAACTCAAGGTCGTTTCATATATTTGACAAGATGGACCTAAGGTCGTTCTGAATATCTGGCAAGTTTGATTGTCTGCTATGAGTTGACTGAATGGTCATATACAGCTGTAAATGATTGAATACAAGGTCGTTCCACTATCTATTGGACTTGAGGTTGTTCTGTCATAAGTTGGACCTGAGGTCGTTCTGTCATATGTTGGATCAGAGGTCGTTCCGTTATGATACAAGACTATTACAAGAATGATTTTATTTAATATTAGAACTCATTCATATAATCTCTTTACTCTGATGTTATTCATTGGGGGTTAGCTTACTCCGTATGTATATGTATATAGGTCAACAACGGGATGTCCAACCCTAGTAAGCCTGTAAAAGGATTACCAAATTTTTGTGGAGTCAGCCACTGATACCTCACGCTCGAGGCTTTTGTCCTTTAATTTTCTTTTGCTTCCTTTTGTTGGACATGTCTGGCCATGTCTGTAAACAAGTTTTGGGTTGGTATGATAATGATCTTATGAATGGTCTTGGTTTCGTAATATTTTTTGTATATGAATGGATGTGAGTTATTAACTAAATGAAATGTCTTTAATATGCCATATTTGCATAGTTCATTAGATAAAATTTGTTACTTTGTTTCCGCTTCTGGCCCTATTATTAATTAAATATTTTTGTTAATTCTGACTTTGAGACTGAGTAATCTAGGATTACTGGTCGGTCACAGCCTAAACCTCTAAGGACAGGTTTGGGTTGTGACATCTAACCTCCTCTTCGACTCGGATGTAAGTGATCAACGCCTCTAAGGTATTCCTCTTTTGTTTGTAGCACACGTTCTTTGGAATTCTCTTCAAGATGATAGTAACTTGTCAACAAATCCTGCAACTATCAAGTTATCATCAAACTTGAAACTTTCAGATTTTACTTTTGCAACTATCATTTAGAAATTTTGTGCTTGCTCCACAACATATTTTTTATCCACTAGTTGGAAACGAAAAAATTGACTAGCTGCATACTTCTTTGCTCCTGTCTCTTCAGTATCATACTTAGTTTGTAAAGCTTTTCAATCTTTTATTTTATTTTGTTTATATATTTATTTATTTATTGCGAAAGTGTAAGTGGTATCATAGTAATCATAAAATTGACCAGCAAGGCAATTCAACATTTATATTTATCTATATTATATGAAGCCACTTTTGCTTCATGTGCCTTGTACTATTTGTCATTTATCTTCTCGGTTAAGATTTTGTTTGGATTCTTATTGGTAAGAAGATAAGCAACTTTCAAAAGGTTGAGGTAAAAAATATTTTTTTCTTTTTCACCTCTTGAAATGAACTTCCTTGAACTTGAAAGGCTTATTAAAATCTCCAATTCCGTCATTGATTTTTTTCTAGTACTTGCTCCATAATAATCACCTTAAAATTGTTGGAGAAAACATCTAAAAAATAATATTTTATTCATGAAATATTATAAAGAAAAAGTGATATAAACAAATTAGGCTATGATCACCTCAAACACACAATGGTAAGAAAAATCTAAACACTGGTGTAACAGTTACCAAATTTTGATTTGTCCCATTTAACTCTGATCTGTCCCTTTAAGGTACAACAATCCGACCACACATCGTATGATTTAAGCCAACTCTACACAAGATGATGAACCAAAAACTCTACCGGTAAAAACACTATTATTTAGCTAATAATCTCTTAAGTGCAGAAATGTTGATATAGGATGAAAAGATAGAAGATGGAACTATTTATAAGCTACATGGGTTTATGTAAATTAAATAGAAAAAATAACGACATACTAAACTAGAGTAATGGAGGATTCTCCATAACCGCCAAATACTTACTCACCCCCACCCCCACCCCCATGGCCCATAATCTTCCAAAACTTCTCATCATGAATCAAACAAAAGGTCATAAAATAAAAAAATAATTAACCAATAATATTAAAATGGTCCGACATATCTGATTATTATGAAATGAATCGGAATTACATTCATCGATTGATGTACTACTATTATTATTATTACCTTTTTTTGCATAGGTACAAAGCTATCACTTAATCATTATTGTTATTATTTTCATGGGATATGAAAATGGAGTATGGATGGGCTAGTCATATCTTTTTGGTGCCCCTCAATGGAGTATGAATGTAGTAGTCTCTCTACAAAGAATAAATTTATTGCAAGAAGAATGGCATAATAACCTAATCATATTCTAATCGTTCATATGATTTTTCTTTTTGAAATACATTGTAGAGCTATTCCTTGTAGATTTCATTGTCTGTTTGTATGCTTTCATGATGATTGTTGTTGTTGTTAGACAAGCACCTCACAGCTGTTTCATAAGCAGTGAAAATAGCCCCATTTACTAGAAAAGCTCTTGCAACTGCAGTACCTAATCCTCGCCACAACACATGATATCCTTCTTCCCTAACACTCTTGCGAAAGCAATCAACAATGCCCGTATATTTTGGTGACGAAGATTGTGATTGAGCTTGAAGTCTAGTTTTGATCACATCCAACGGATAACAACAAATCCAACTAGCAACCCCTGCAAGGCCTCCTGCAATCAGCATCGTTTTGAAGTTCTCTTGGCCACTCTTTCGACAACCCGGATGAAGTTGTTCTCTCATACGCTCGTACGTCCAAAAGTATACACCATGAGCGGGTGCATCTCTGAGCATAGTTATTGTTAGGCCTCTGTACGTTCCCCTCAAACCTTCTGTTTGAAATATTCTTTTGGCAACACTTACTGGACCTCTATGACAATTTGCAAGTTGGGATTTTTCGTTATTTGTTGTGCTTTGTAATTGTAGGCGGATCTTGACTAGTTCGACAGGCGTGAGCAGTAGGCTTTGTATGGCACCTGTTCCAACTCCTCCAAGCGCAACCCCTTTGTAAGAAGGAGGGTCTGTAGCAGGAACTGAAGAGTCGAATGTGCGCGATAAGACTGCATAGATCTGGAAAACCATGGCATTCTGCAAAGCAAATTGTCATCATGTAATTCATGTAAGAGATGTCTAGAATCCGAATACTCAAACAACAATGGTTGTAATATAATAAATAGTCTCTATTGTGTCTTGTATTTCCTTTAAAACATTGATATTGATGCATTTCTATGTTTTTCTCATACAAATAAAATAAAATAAGCAAAGTTAAAATGAGAACTACTATCAATTTGATTTGAAATCTCATTTAAGACTGTTATGGTGTGTTTGATTGGGGAGATAAGGAGGGGATTATTCACTATTGGGATTGTAATTCGGGAGAGACTCTTTATCCGGCGTTTGTTTTTTTTTTAGTCCGCCAGACTCTTTATCCCCCATATGGGGGACTATTACATCCTAAGGAGGTATGGGACAATTTTCGGGAGACAATTCACTGTTGGAATTAAGTGATGAAATGACCATTTTGACCATCTACTATTTAATTATGTATTATATTTAGTAAAATTCAATAAAACTTAAATGTCTCAATTTAAAAATAAATATATTTTTTTAACTTTTTATTGATGTTTTATTTATTTAATTTTTTAAAATAATTTTTTATAGATATTTTATTGATGTTTTATTTAAAATTTTGTTTATAATTTATTTAATTTCATTATTTAAATTTTAATAGATGTTTTATTTAGTTTCATTCTTTAATTATTATAATTTTTAAAAATAAATTTATTTAAAATTTTAATTAAAAAAATAACATATATTTTTATTGATATTTAATTTATTTAATTTTAAAAAAATAAATTTATTTAATTGTGTAAAAAATAAAATAAAATAAAATTTTATTTAATCTAGCTAAAAAAGTAAAATATTAAAGATATGTTTAATATTGCTATTACTTAGTAAACAATTAAAAAAATGGTAAAATAGTCCTTTGTTCATTTATCCTATTCAGTACGTTCAACCAAGCGTTGGATTGACTAAAACTAATTATTTCCAGATAGCTAATCCTATGAAAAAACAAACACATAATACATATCTAATCCAACCAAATAGTCCAGAAACTCAAATTTGCTGAATTATAATCTCTCTTTATCCAGCCCGTCCAATCAAACACACCGTTATCCCTCTATGTAGTGTTTCATTACTTTCAGGTTGGTGTTTTAAAAGACGACATAAAGTGTTAATTGATAAATAGTATAGTATTTGCTTTAATAGAACCTTTTTGTACAGCGGAATCTTTCAGCTTCTATTGTTTTCTCAGAGATTAGTAGCATACCCATTGGATGATTTTTCTTATAAACTCAGGTTGTTAAAAACTTTTCTCCAACTAAAATATCCCTAACTTATTTATCAAATCTAAATTATTTTACAATGGTGACTACAAACACGAATTTCGTGCATATTCTAATTAATTGCTATATTTCTACCTACCTTACTTTTGTTCTCTCTCTCTCTCTCTCCCTCCCCTTACTCTACTGTCACCGTCAGACATCACCTTCCACTCTCTGAAATCCCATATGTAATCCCCTTTTTCTCTCTCTCTCTCTCTCTCTCTCTCTCTCAACACTATCCATTTTAATAAAACTTTATTAACATGCATATCCACATAGATCAAGATTATTCAAACTATGATCATCATCACCTTGAAGTCAGTTTTTTAAGTCATGACTATAAAATTAAAATATATATATATATATATTGCATTTGGGTGCTTAAGGTTGCACACCATATGCAACCAACACAAAAGGTGTAAGTAGAAGGTGCAAACATAAAACAGGACAACAAACAGAAAGACGTAAGTGTAAGATGTAAGTTATGCACTTAAAAAAAATCCATTACATTTTAACATTTTTTTTCTCCCCCACTTTGTTGATGTCATGGTTTTATCTATGAATTCATGCACAGTTTGCAATATTAAAAAGAGTCACTTGTTAACAAGTAATTAATTGTATTTTATTTAATAAATTATATTTTGAATCCATAAAGACATATTTTGAAAAATAAGTTAAAAATCAATTTTTTAATTTTTTTTATGAAAAAAACATATAAAAAAATTAAGTGATATGACCTAAAAAAATTAAAAAAAAAAAAAAAAACTGACTTTAAACAAACTTGTCCAAATAAGCAAGAGTTTCCATAAGATAAGACACATGTGAAATAACGGGACATCTTACATCTTTATCGCATTTTGTAAACTTGTTAGCATCATAATATTCAAACTTGACCAAATAAGCAAGAGTTTCCATAAGATAAGACACGTGTGAAATAACGGGACATCTTACATCTTTATCGCATTTTGTACATCCTAAACTTGTTAGCATCGTAATATAAATGGGTCAGGTTAATGAGTTTCCCAAGACACTGTTAAAAAATAATCAATGATATTTTATTTCATTTAATAGGTATTAAAAATTGTTAATTCATAAAAATAATTATTTTTTATATATATGAAAAATGTAAAGTATAAATTAGTATAATCAAATTAAAAAATAAATAAAAATAGAAAATAAAATAAATGAATAAAACAAAATAAAGGGGGCTAGTGACCTTTTATAATGAATATGTTAAAAATAAAAATTTAGTAAAATCAAAATAAATTATTACACTATTAAAAACTAATTTACATACTCTTTAACAAGATGAATTTTAATGATCAAAAGGGCTAGTGATCTCATCTCATGATGTATTTCAAATTCCAACAAATGGAATAATCAGAAAACAAAGATTCAGGGGATCAAATCAAAGATCTCAACTCAAAAAAACAAAAATGCTAGACAGTTCAAATTTTCTACTAAATATTAACATGGGGTGCTATCTACACTTATAATAACATTTAATAAAAATTTTATTTTTGTATTGGTTTTTGTAAGAATTTTTACATTGATAGAATATCCCAAAACATGTAGAAGTCAATTTTTTTTATTTATTAATTTCATAAAAAGAATTTAAATTTTTTGATATTGTGTTTGGTGGAGAGATTTAGAAAATAATTTTTTTTTAAAAAAATTAAAAAATAAATAAAATATAAATAAAATATATTTATATTTCACTTAGGCCTCGTTTGGCAAGAGACTATTTTAGCCAATTAGTCAAAAAGTTACTAAATTAGTCAAAAAGCCAACAACCCATATCAAAAAGTCAAAGATTCTTTTTTCTCTCTACTTTTTGCACATCTTTTCGTAATTAGTCAAAAAATCATCCCAAACATACTAGTTTTTTTTACCTACCTTTTTAGTCAAATAGTCAAAAAATTACTAAATTAGTCTGTTCCCAAACGAGGCCTTAATTTCACATACTTTTTCTATTTTTCTTTTTAAATTTCTTCTTAAATCTCCTAATTAAATCTCCTAATCAAACACGACATAAACGAAAATTTCTCCCTGATAAGAGCTTATGAACACATAATCCTGTCTAATAACTCTTGTCAGTAAACAAATCTCTATTTAATGATTCTTGCCGATAAAAACCGTCGGAGAGAAGTGGTTCCCTGCTAAAAAATGAAAAATGGAGAGACAAGATGAGGAGAAACAGAAACCTGAAAAGTGACAGAGGCGAGGGGTGCGGCCATGCCCCTGTAGAGGGCAAGGGGTCCGTCGGTGGCCACAACGCCGCGAAGGATGGTGAAAGCCGAACCACTGGTGGAGTGCCGCTGCTGACGAACCCTCAGCGTGTCGAGCGGATATCCGGTCACTATTCCGGCTACTCCTCCAAACCCTCCCGCCACGAATTCTTTCCCCCAACTGCTCGCTAGAAACTCTGGCCAAAAATCCATCTTTCTCTATCTCTCTTTTACTACTCACAGCTTGCATTCCCTGCTTTCTCAACAAATTCAAATCACACACAACCCCCTTTTTATCTTTCTTCTCCTTTCCTTATTTGTTGCGATGAATCCAATTACCAATCAAAAGCTAATTTCTCTCTTCCTTAGATCTCTCTCTCTCTCTCTCTCTCTCTATATTTCTTAATTTTAAACGTGTGAAAAAACCCAATTCCGTAATACATGAGCTCCACTTTTTGGAAAGAGGTCTCGAAGATTTCTTTCTGAATTCTCTCTCCCTCTCTCTCTCTCTCTCTCTATCAATCTAGAAGTATTTGCATATGAAGGGGCAATAGATTTGAATCTTGTATCGTTCCAAGAACAAAGCAAGTAGAGAGAGAGAGAATGAAGAAGAGGAAACAAGTGAAAGCTCCGCAATCATGATTTGATTTCATCATAATCATAATGATAAAGAGTTCTAATGATATTTGAGTTCTAAAATAATATGTGATAAAAAAAAATAATAATAAATATACACATTATATTATAGGTGAACTTCACTTATTTAAGGAGTTGTTTAGAATGACCTAAATAAGTATATTTTTTATCTTTTTATGAAAAGATATACAGAAAAATAGAGAAGTGATGTGATAAAAAAAATAAAAAGATGAATTATTTTGGTATTGCCAAACTTGGCCTAAGGTTCATTTAAGATGTAGTTTGATTTTTTAATTTTTTAATTATTTTAATTTGGAGTTAAAAAATTTTGTTTAGGATAGATTTTTTATTTTTTTAATTCTTGTGAAAAAAAAAAAATAATTATAAATTAAATGTGATATTTTATTTTATTAAATTAAAAAAATTATTTTATTTTTTATAACTAAAATAATTAAAAAATCAAAAAACCTCACAGATCAAACGATGGCTTTAGAGCTTTTCTAAAAAGAAAATAATTGAGAATTTTAATTAGAGCTATCATAAATAATGTGACAACAAATCTTACAATATGTGTTGTGTCTATTTATTTATTTATTTTATTTTTCTACCTCACTAGTGATGGGTGTAAAACTACCAAATTAATGATTGTTTCTAAAATTCTTAGCTATCAATCATTTTTTTTTTTTATTCTACAGAAAAGACACCGATGCTAATTTGTTGGAACTTGAGGAGAGTGGTCTCTCTCTCTCTCTCTCGGCCACAGAAAGGAAACCGCCAGCGTCCTATTTCTTTAGAAGGCAGATGGGTCACAAGATGGGTGTCACGTGTACCAAACAGAGTTTCACACGTCACGCTCACCATGTCTAGTGCACCAGATTCTAGGTTCTGTTTTTTTTTTTACTGATTGAAATCATCTCTAATGGTAGTAGACATTTTACCTATTTAAATATTATCATAAAGTGTATATTTTATTTTACCTATCAACGATTTCATGTTTCTACTCCAATCATACTCTTTATTTTAGCTATTCTTCCAAATATTATTAACTTTATAGAATGTCACGTCAGCAACAAAGATGGAGTGAAATAATCTTAATGATTAAATATATTTTGCCTAGCCTTGAAGGCTAGTTACATGTAACTAGTGAATGTGAGCTGAGCCAAAATGCCTAAGCATATGCCTAGTGCATTGGAGTTGAAAAAAGTAAGTCACATTAGACATTTTAACTAACAAGCATCATATGCATAGTGAGTTAGAGATGCTCTGAAAGAATTATTAATGAGATAGTATTAAAATAAATTATTTTATTTGCGTATTACGAGGTTGTTAAAAAAGAGGATTAGATTAGAATAATTTATTGAAAGATAAAAGGGTAATTTGAGTAATCGGTAAAAAGTCAATTTTTTAATTTTTTACTAAATTTTTAAAAAAAATCACAAAAAAAGATATTAAAAAGTTAATTTTTTATTAACTTCTCAAAACACTCCAAAATATATTAAAATAATTAATAAAATAAAATATCATATTTAATTTCTAATAATCATTTTATTTTTTTCTCACAAGTACCAAATCTGAGAGGATAATTTGTATAGCCAAATTGGACCGAGCTAGGAAGCATTGTTTTTGAATATTGAGTGGCGTTGTGGGCCAAGTTACGAGCTCAGGATAGCTCGGTGTGGGAACAATGGTTGATAGGCCGGTCGGTGAGCTCCAGTTGCGGTCAATGGGCGAGCCGAAGTGCTATGTCGGCCACATATAGGAAGCCAAGCTAGAGGTAACCCGGCGAGAGGATTCAAAGCAACTGGTGATCGTGCGGCCCTGTCAGGGTATTTGCGCCAGGCAGCTCAGCTAGGCGTAGCGAGCCAAGCAAGGTGATAACCATCTCACTTAGTTGGAAGTGAGTAGGGTGTTATCAGAATATGCATTATCCTTGAGAATGTAATTCTTAGGAGGACTCTGCTAAGGAGAGTAGAGTCCTACTATGATTATGCAAACCATCTCACTTGGTTGGTAGTGAGTAGAGTGTTATTCTTCATTGGGAGTTTGATTCCTAGGAGGACTCTTATAAGGAGAGTTTGAATCCTATTAAGATTGTGCCAGGTAGAATCTATAAAAACTCATAGCAGAACCTAGGTACAGGTATCACAATTCTTACTCTAGAATACATAGAGTTTTTGTGTCTATTGTCTATTTGTTGACTTAGGTATCAGAGAGGTTTCCGGCACACACTCGCCGGCTAACTCACGTTTGTGTTTTCAGGTGACAAAGCGACCACGTTTGGAGGAGTGCAAACTTGATCAACAGGATTATACGAGAATATTATTTCGCGCTCGTTCAAAATCAATTAAAAAAATCTACTTCTCAAACACAACTATTTTAATCAAGTTAAAATAATTTAAAAAATCAAATAACTGACTAAAATAACTAATTTTTCAAACAAAGGCCCATATAGCAATATTAATTTGTTGGAATTAAATTTATAAAATTATATAAAAATTTTATTATATAAGAAATGGTTTTGTTGTTTTTGTAAAGTGGTGGTCAAAATGGTATTTTTACTTTCAACATTAGATTTTAATGCCACCTCCCTATGAAATTGTTAATCCCCTTCTTAAAAAGGTTTCATAGGGGTGTTTTGGAAAGATGGTTAAAAATTATTTTTTGACTCTTTTTAACTTTTTTGTGAGAGAATGAAGTGGATTAAAAGCTCCCATAACAATGTTAATCACTCCAAACTCTCCTCCGATGATGTTACAAACAATATTGAAATAAAAGATAAAAATTTAAAGAGAGTTAATTAGTTGATATTATTTGTCACGTCATTGAAAGTAAGGTGGAAAGGAAAATTGGAGGGATGAAACATTTTTATATTATTATTTTTTTCAAAATAGTCCAAGATAGGAAAATTTGGGTTAACCGGTCGTCCTCCCGGACGTCCGGCCGATTGATTTTTAGGTCATATCAACTATTTATTTTTTTTATATATATATTTTTTATAAAATGCTAAAATTACATTTATTTAGATTATCCAAACAACTTGTAAATCCAATCCTCACTATAATTTTGAATTTTGAATTTTTGTTAACAAATATCCTTGAGCACAAGATCAAGATACAAAATTTGAAATAGCATACTATATTCTTTTACATTACATTGTATTTGAATCATAAATTTTAATATTTAAATTTTTTTATGATTCAAATATAATGTAAAAATGTTTTTTACTCAAATTTTAATATTAACTAATATTCTAAAAAATATTTACTTATAATTTTTTTCCCATATTCAAATAATTTTCAGTGGGTTGTGATGCGACCCACAAGGCTGATCTATCATTGGCTCTCTGGTGCTTGTATTCTAACGGAGAGTTCCACCGAGAGGTGGGGTTGGGTCATGGATGTGGCAACTGAGTAGGACTTTTGTCTTAAGAATCATCAATTTATTATATATATATTGGTTGTCAATGGTATTCATACTCTTTAAGATATACATAATCTTTGTTTGGCATGTCAAAAAGTTTGATTTTTTGATTATTTTAATTATAAAATGATAAAATAAGTTAAAAAATTAATTAGATAAAATGTAATATTCAAACCATAATCATTTCATTTTTTCTCTTACAAAAGTCAAAAAAATTAAAAAACGTATTCCAAATGAAATTTTTTAACTCTAAACTAAAATAACTAAAAAGCTAAAAAATTTAAAAACCAACTCACATTCCAAACAAACCTATATAGTGTTAAAACTCTTAAGGTGTAAGAAAAACACAAAAAAAAAAATCAATATTTTTCCAAAAATTTTAATATAAATTTATATTTTTTTGCACTTTTCTTTATATTGTCAATATTATCAATAAACTCTTAAGGTGTAAGAAAAAAAAAACAAAAAAAAAATCAATATTTTTTCATAAATTTTAATATAAATTTATATTTTTTTGCACTTTTCTTTTTATTGTCAATATTATCAAGTGTATTGAGAGAACTTAATAGTATTCGTCACTGCATTCATAGATTCTGATTCTAGAATAGTCGATTATCAATTAAATTTAATCTAATTCAAAAGAAGAGATCTCATTATCAAGTCATCAATGAAATTTAAAAGAGTTCAGAATCAAACAAAATACAATGCAAGTTCTTAAAAAAAAATAATAATAAATCCGATAATTTTTTGCACCCCAAATTTGAATCTAATCACCCAGGTAAAGTGTACCGCTTTCTCTATTAACCCGATGGTGGGGCTCACCTTTGTTGGGCACGATCTATATGTCATATTACTTAAGTGGGTCTTTGTGAAGTAACTATTTTTTAAGTTTTTTAAGTATTTTAACTTCCATTTGGGAAGTGTGTTGGTTTTTTAGTTTTTTGACTTTTTTAGTTATTTTAGTCTGGGTTAAAAAGTTTGGTTTGAGAAGAGTTTTTTGGCTTTTTTAATTTTTTTTGTGAGAGAAAAGTATAATGATTATGAGTTGGATGTGATGTTTTGTTTTTGTGGTTAAAATAGCCTATTTTGTCTTTTGTGGCTAAAATAGCCAAAAAAGCCCCAAACTCTTCTTGCCAAACGAACCCTTAATAGGTATTTTAGTTTGTATTTAGAAAGTTGGGTTAAATTTTTAAGTTGGTTATTGTGTATTGAAAAATATATTTGAAATGCCATTTAGGCTTCGTTTGGGAAGCCATGGTTTGGGCTTTTTTGGTTATTTTAGCCACAAAAAATAAAATAGGCTATTTTAGCCATAACAAACAAAACATCACATCCAACCCATAATCATTACATTCTTCTCTCACAAAAAAACTCAAAAAAGCCAAAAAGCCCTTCCCAAACCAAACTTTTAAACTCAGGCTAAAATAGTCAAAAAAATCAAAAAGTCAAAAAGCCAACCCATTTCCCAAACGGAGGCTTAAAGTTAAAATGATAAATTTGCCGCGAACATTATTTTTTCCAAAATGATCTACAGAGACAAAATGGTCATTTAACTGCTTGTGGAATGGCAATGGTAGCCTCAACCTACACTGTGTTGGTCATAG